TGTAGAGAGAGGCAAAGAGCTGCTGTCACGCGGCAGGCAAGGCCCAGCGGAACACCCCAGCGGCACTTTTGCCCGGGAAGAACTCTCTTCCTCATTCCTCATCTTACGAAAGTGCCGTAATTCATGACGACATCGTCACCCTTTACCCCAAACCATTTTGCACCTGAAAGTCATTCTCGTCTATGTTTCACGGTTAAGTTTGGAACCAGGATTTCAGGACATCCACAGTCCGAACCGCCCACTGAGGGACAGGTGCAGTGACGTCAAAGTTTCGCTCTGTCTTTAGACAGGATGGAAACGCTTGCTCACTTCAAGCACGCTTGGATTCAGGGTATTTTGTAGCTGCCGCTAGATAAACTGCGGATTCAAACCAAGCCTATCCCTGCCAGCCACTGAAACCCAATACAGATTTAAATCCACAGCTCAGTCTCTTGAGGTTTTCCAGACTGGGCCAAACTGGATGTGCAAACTAGAAGTCTGGGCACAGCCAGGGGCATCTGGCCCTTGACTTTTAGCCCAGGGCACACAGCCTGCGGCCAACAACAGCCAGGTAGGCAAGACCTGCCCAGGGTAAGCTTGCTTGGCTTGTTGTCTGTTTAGCTTCCACGCACTTGCTTCATTTAGGACATTTCTGTAAGAGGCTTTGGTTCCCTTAGGGGACCAAAGCAGAACAGGAACATAAATGTTACACCAAGGCTCTTGGGTCCATTTTGGCAAGGATCTCCTTCAAAACCCACTGCTAGCTCTCTGAAGGCAAACGGTGGAATTCAAACAACCCTGGCCTCTCCGCCTACACATGACATTCTGGCCACATCAGAAAAACCAGACTTGCATATAATTCCCTTCACACCCACTTGTTGCTACACAAAATACTTAAAATGTTAAGCTACCTAGCAGTGACTAACTGCTGCTTGCATTCACTGCAGAGGTAACCAACAGTTTAGGGCTTAAAAGGTGGCAAGTATTTGAACTGGGCTTCGAGTGGATCTACAGCCAGGGAAACTTAGTAGGAAAATAAACTTTGTGAAGTGTTCCAGAGAGACAGGAATCTTTCAGAATACAGTATGTTTTTTAAGTCACAAGAATTCTGTCCGCTGTTGTCATTTCCACAAGCAGCAGATTAAATGTTTCACTTTTCAATCGCTAACCTTAGGCAAAACTAGAATCCTCCCAGCACTAGCAGGGGCAAAGGGCAAAGGTTTGAGATGTGCAGTGCCTGCGTACACAACACTTTCCAAAGAACGCAAAACACGTAGAAGGCTGCCAAATCTAATGGTGTCCTTTCAGACTAATTCATTGGGAGGTTCAGACAAAAGCTTGTGGAAGGGAAACGTCTGGCATCTTGCACACGTGCCCCAGTATGCAGCCAAAACATTTAAAACTAAGTCAGAGAGGCATCCAGTGAGAGATATGAAATAACTTTCGAAGAGAAGCATCGGTGGGAAGAAATGAGGGCTTCAGGATAGACAGCTGGGATGGCCCAATCTCAGGTGAAGGTTTCTTTTGACACTTTGTGTGGCCCGGGGGATAGAACCTTTATTTATCAAATTCAGGGCTATTTTT